CTGAGCATGACGTCCCATGGTATGGAATATCCCTTTGGCAAATTGGGGTCAGCTGACCTGGCTGTGCCCCCTCCCAGCTTCTTGTGCACCTCCAGCCTTCTCAGTTGGTGGAGCATGGGAAGCTGAAAAGTCCTTGGCTAGTGTAAGCACTACTTAGCAACAACTAAAACATTGGTGTGTTATCAACATTGTTCTCATCCTAAATCCAAAACACAGCACTGTACCAGCTACTAGGAAGGAAATTAACTCTATCCCAGCCGAAACCAGGACACATTTATATCTTCCAAATCTATAGCATGCTGCAAACTGAAACATGATGGGGGGAAGTACATCACATATAACCTTGTACCATGTTGAGGTCCTTCCCCACAATTTTTTAATCTTTCTGGAGTCAGCTACGTAATGGTTTTTAAGGAGAATGTATGAAAATCAGGTACCTAATTTTTCTGTCAATGTGGCTTTAGCTTCTCCATCTTTAACTTAATGCTGCTCAAAAAAGTGTTGATATTCACTGGATGTCTTCCAGTCAGCAGATGCACAAGGACAAAAGAAGCCTATCAGTGAAAAAAAAAGTATCTTGATCTTCCTTAATCATTCGTAGATACAGAAAAACAACAAAAATGACATGTTTGCTGACTGCAGATCCCTCCTTGTTAGTTGTAGATGCTTCCTGTGCTTTCAGTTATTGCAACTGATGGTTTTGGTTCTCAAGGGAAGTGTCATGCGGATATCCCTTGCGTCTCTCCACAGAGGGGCTTACAGCAGCCTCCTTCTCTTATAGCTTAAGAGTGAAGGGAGATCCTAAATCTTCTATAATGTAAAAAAAAGAACCAAACAACCAACCAAACAAAACCCCAAACCTGGGAACCTCTGTCTTAATAACTCTTCTAACTGATGGTTTTGGTTCTCAAGGGAAGTGTCATGCGGATATCCCTTGCGTCTCTCCACAGAGGGGCTTACAGCAGCCTCCTTCTCTTATAGCTTAAGAGTGAAGGGAGATCCTAAATCTTCTATAATGTAAAAAAAAGAACCAAACAACCAACCAAACAAAACCCCAAACCTGGGAACCTCTGTCTTAATAACTCTTCTCCACCGTGCAATCTGGGAACCTCTGTCTTAATAACTCTTCTTGGCTGTCCACTGTGCTTCTCAGCATTGTGCAGCAGTGTGCTCCAGCAGGGCAGATGATGGATTTGTTTGGGGAAAATCATGCAGATGCAATAGATTGAGCTCAGCACGGAGGTCAAGGTTATACATGCTTTTTGTTCCCACCCAAATTGCAGACTCTTGCAGCCATCCAAAATTACGGATTTTTGGCAAGAACTGTGCCTATTAGAGGGATTATACTTTATTTTTCCATTCACATATTTGCACTCCAAGGATGGATTTATGTTTTATGGTTTCCTATTTGTTTCCAGCTATTTTCTCTCACAAACTCCCTCTGCAGTCGACAGCACTGTCTCCTTATCTCCATTCACCACCTGCTGTAAACTGACCTTTGCTACTTGGAGATTAAATCTTTCTGTCCTGGCCAGAATAGGTTTATTAATTATATTTGAGAGATGCCTTCAAGAACTTAAGAGCTTTCATCTTTCTCAGCATGGGATAGGAAATATTACAAGTTGTGTTTTCAGTCAGATTACTGCCTTCACTTCAAATCACCATAGGAACATGAAGCGAGAATAAAATGTGTTTACATCAAAATAAAGAAAAGGAATGAACTTTAATTGGAGCTAGGAAGAAACTTGTTCTCGACAGTAGACTCCATCTGGCATTTACACATCTGAATTCCTTGACCAGGTAGGAAGGGGACCATTTTATACTTACTGGCATGAGCACAGCAGCAAGGTAGACTTTTTCCTTGCAGTAATGTTAAATCACTACTGTTTCATACACCAACTGCACAGTCTGAACCCATCAGATATTTACTGCAGCAGTAGGGAACTTAGATTTTGTTCTTGGATCCTGCCACTTTCCTGAATATTATGTATCTTTCTTAAAGGTTTTCTTGTTAGAAAAGAGGTTCTTACATTTCAAGTCAAAGTCCTGGGGAATGAGCAACATAATTCTATTCACAAAGCAGGTGTTTAAATGTCTTGCTGACTTAAGACCAAAATGTCAAAGTTGGAATTGTTACAAAATCTGCTTCTTTTATCTCTGGAGAGGAAGATGAAGCAGAGTTGACTCTTTTACTGAAAATAAGTAGGGTCTGGGGCATTCCTTCCTCCTTTCTTCTTACATAAAGAAGGAGGACCTGGACATAGATGGCAGTTTCTTTGTTTCTGCTAATCCCTTTCTACTTTTCAATCTCCATTTCATTTCTCCCCCAAAAGTAGAAGTGTCCTCCATAGGCCTCCTAGTGAACATAGCCAGGCAAATACCATGTCAGGGTGAAATACTGTGTTTGAGAATTTAGATTCTTCAGTCTCTGCTCTCTTGGGACTTGTCTCTCTGTCTCTCTCGTGTGGCCACTACTTTGGGAGGGCCTGCTCATGGATATTACTCAAAAGGAAAAAAGAAGTGGTGGGAGGTCTTAAAGATGTTCAGTCCTTATGCACATTCACATCATGCCATCCCATGTTCTTCAGAGGATTGTATGTCCTTGAACTCTGTGGCTGAAAGGAATCCAAGCTGTAGGAAGGATGCACTGCTCTTTCAGCAGCAGATAAGTGTGTACAGATATTGCAAAAGCAAAAAACCTCTCATTCTCAAGTAGATGAGTTGCAGGTGGATCCCCAGTGCAATGTTCATATTAATGATGTAGCTTGGAGGCATCCACTAATTGTAGAGAAGTAAACAGTCTTATACCACAGGGATTACAGATGCTGTCTTATTCCAGGAGGTATTAAATTATGACAGTGATGCATTTTTAAGCCTTGTGGACTGAGAGAAGTTAGTAAATATTCGTTACAAGGCAGATTGTAGTTTCAAAATTGGCTTCAGAACTAACTGGTCAAACATGAACTTTGACTTTTTATTTCCAATTCATCTCATGAATGATATTGTCAAAGTGATTCACTCAAAAGGAACTGTTTAATGAGGCTTCATAAGCCTTAAATAAGTAACAGACTTACGGGTATGATAGTAGGTAGTACCAATACATATTTTGAAATGTGCAGTCTGATGCCATTTGGAATTAATGGTTGCTACCAGTAGAGAAAAATGTTCAGATTCTCATAGTGAAGTGGATTCCAGTACATAATTGAACAGTAAAATTGCCAGCTGCAGTCTTCAGATAGCTATTAAAAAACAGTGTAGGACAGAATTAGCAGATTCGTTTGCAAAAATAAAAAGCCAAGATGAAAACTTAAGATTTTACAGGCTCATAAACTTGTACTCAAGATTTATGTATGGAATTGTTATTGACTTGGCATAGCTGAATAATGTCTTTTTACTGTGTATTTGCAAGATCGTGTATAATTACATATGCAGTAAAACCTAAAAATGAACATGGTTTCATTTTGGCCACTGTATGAAAGCTGAGTAATCCGGTTATAAATGTCTATATAAGTACAGGAAAGTGGTCAACGTGGCAAAGTAGAGGTACCAGTGTATCCCGTTTCCTCTTGGCAGGAAATAAATAGATGAGAGGAAAGCATTTTGAGAGTGGGCTGGATTACACCATGTGCTACAGTATATGAAGTGAACGTGTGAGCGTATTACTCAGACACCATTCTATGTGTGCTCCTGAATTTCTTATTCAGCTGCTTTGTGTGTGTGTGTGTGCACAGAGATACCATGTTTTGTACACTGCAGGAGTATTCAAAAGTGTTGGATTAGTGCTCTCACTTCTGCACAGAACAAGGTATTTGCAGTACAATCCTGTCTTGAAAGGGTTAAAGGCCCTTTAGGGTTATAGGTTTTGTATTTGCATGTATTTGCTTTTTAAAAATAAACAGCTAGTTTATATTGCTTTATTCATAGAACGAAGTCCTCTGCCTCTTAAGCCATTGTTAATTACCTTGATTTGTTAGGCACACTGGCTGGGTGGATCTCAAATTAGTTGGATTTTAGTTTATATTCTAAATAAATGTCTAGCAGTTCTGCACAGCCTTTAGCTCAAAATCAAAATACAGGTGGAAATGCTTTACCCACTTAAGACAATTTGTAATACTATACTATGGAAATCTGTTTAGAGTCTGCTTGTGAGTATGGTGGTTTTTTCAGTGAAACTAAAGAAAATTCGTAAACAAGATCAGACGCAAGCTTGCATTTGCTCGTGCTCTCTCTCTGGCACCACTGCTCTTGCATCCCTTTATGACCAGTTTCAAAAGGAGGAACTGGGAGCAGCCCTGTCCAAGGATATCCAGGGTTTTGGCACTGTCCTGCGTAATGGCAGCAGCGGGTTCACTTGCAAACTCAGAAGGGTCTTAAATCCAGACCTTCATTGTAAAAGCAAGCATTGTAATAACTAGGCAATTATGCAGAAGATGCCTTCCACCTCCTTCCACTGGACGGATCTCCATTGTGGGTGCTAAGGGGATGAAGCAGCGTCATCGCAGCAGCTGCATCAAAATACAGGCGAGGCTGCTGTTCCTGATATTCTTTATTCTGAAGAAAAAGCCTCTGTGTCTTTTGGGGGCTCTGGGGAAGCTGAACATATGTCACATTAGATTTAGGATGATGATGCTTTCTTCCATCTTCATGTGTCTGCAGTCAAGCCTGCTTTATGGTTCTTGAGTTACACGTGGCCTACTTCCACATAGTCATCTACCTGTCCAGTAAGAGGTATTTCAGAAGTGGGACCAAAGCTCAGTCTCTCTGGCATGGCAGACTGTGCAGCGTTAAGATTCCTCGCTGCAGGAGCAGTGCACCTGAGGAGACAGGGCATGCACATCTGTCCTTATGCAGATGACCAGCTGATCAGAGACAGGCACTGGCAACGAGCCTAGAATATGCTTGCTGTTTATCCAGATGATTGTCCTAAAGAAATGTATTAAAACAAAGAGCCAAAGTCACAGCCACAAACGATGGAGTTCATAGGAGCTGTGACCAGTTCCAGGCTAGTGAGCAGTTGCCCAAAGACAGGGTCCTGTCACTATGATTGCTTCTACATGAGATAAAATCTAATCCTGCTACTATGGTATGAACGTGCCTTGGAGCATTAGACCATATGTCAGCATGCACATGACATCCGATGCCAGCCTTCAGCTGTGGCTCCTATAACTTTGGCTCAAGTCCATATGCTTCCCATAGAGGCACCAGATGGACAAGAATATTTTCTCATCTCATCGTGTCCTCACGGAGTTGATACAGTGGCTAGAACCTGAAAAGCCCAAGGAAAGGGAATACTGACTCCTGTGTCCCACCTTCTTCTCGGATTCTGGTCACAGGCACAGGCAGAGATGCCCACTTGGCCAGCACAGAGGTGTGAAATGTCTGACCGTGAAAGCTATGGGACTCATCTCAACATCCTAGGATTTAGAGCCAAAGCACTTACAGTGCCTGAGCGAAATGTATTCATATTGTATCTCTGAAAACTCACGTTACACATCCTGGCAGCCACCTCCTCCATTAAAAAGAAAGGAACAACAAGCAAATAGTATGAGCTTACCATGACAACTGAAAACTGCTGAAGTCTGGAAACTGCTTGGAAGTAATAATTATATGGTGAACTTCAGTTACTGTATCACTGGGAGTCGAGCGGGGGGAATAGAGCTGTGTGTTTTTCATGATAGCACTGTCATAATAACAAAGGATGTTATTCCACTGCCCAACTGTTTGTTGCAATGGGGGTACAAGTGCAGAATTGTTTCCCAAAATCATGTTTCTACACTTACAGTCTTCCAGAACACCTTTGCACAAATCCTGAGGTTTGTATGGTTTGCAAGCTGATAAGGGTCATTCCCTGCTCCTTACCAGCTGAGACAGTTTGGCTTAATAAATTACAAATGTCCATCAGTCTCTGATTCATTTCCTGATTTGCCAGTTGTAATTTAATAGTATCTTGATGAGCTATTTCACTCAGATACAGTCTTCTGGCAGTTCACGACCTTGATTAAATACTAAATATCAGGTCTGCTCTAGACAAACCCGGGTGAATGTGGAGCAGATAAGGAAGATGATTAAATTACAAACTACTGGTCTAGATGAAAGAGGACTCCTAGATGGTTAGTGCAATGTGGCCTTGCCAACAGGAAATTTCACCTTTATGGCCAATGGAAGATAGTGCAAATTAGACCAAAAAGCTAAAATAAATGAACTTAGTAGCTGTGTTTGTATAGCGTGTTGGAGGAGAAGTGGAATTTTGCTGCTAAGGAGGCGAGGAAAGAGATAATTACAATAATCAAAATGGGAGACAAAGAGCTCCTGAGTGTAGCTGTCGGGATAGAAAGAAAGGACAAAAGTTGGATGATTGCTGGGTTGCCAGATGATTAAAGTGATGTTGTCATATTTGTGAATATTTTGTCTGGTTATGAGCATATGCGGGGTATATTGCTTGTTATTCTGATAGATGTATGTACTGCAGCTTCCGTACAGTCACTGTCGTGCTTTCTGTGCATTGAAATTGAATTTCAAGAAAAGGCTCATTTAAGATCTATTATAGAGACACGCGCGCGCACACACAGAGGTAGGTACTTGCTCTGCTTTTGGCAGGGGTACCATTTCTTTCTCCACTCAGTTCAGAGACATGCAGATCAGATTAGTGTCTTCCTTCAGATTTTGTTAGATTCTTCAGGATGTTTTATGATTTAAGCTTTAATTTTTTAAAAGTGCCTAGCCTTCTGGGTGAAAGAAGCTTTCTCTGGGATAAATTAACACTTGATTGTCGTCTTGAGTCTCTTGTCATTTCATACTGAGAGATGCAACAGTCCTCTCTATTACGCGGATGGGTGGGGCTCTCCTTGAAACTTTAGTTAGAGGTTTTAGCCTTCATGGCACGGACACTAATTGCAGAACGCAGCTAGATCTGTAGCTTTGAATTCTATGCTGGCAAAAATGGAGTCTCATTTGATTCTGGAAGGAACAAGATCTGATAAGGGGACTTGATTACAGGTTTTTTTCTTTTAAGCTTTTGTTTGTTTTGCTCTCTAGTGTTAGATCGCCTATTTTTCCGACATTTTTTTCAGATACAGTCTGTGTTTTCAAGCTTATATCTATGCTGTTTTATTTTTCTTGAAGAATACAAAACCAACCATTGCTGCTACTTTTGTTCAGCTGCTCTAATGATCTTTCTAGGTGCCAATTCTAGACCTTTCAATGTGTGTGCTGATGTTTCTTCATATTTAGCTGTAACTGAACTTACTCCTTCCTCTCAAGAAAATGTTTGATTGATCTCTGATTGTTTGCAGATACTCCCATGAGTGAGTGTTCTCTGAACGTTATCTACTTTATTTATCTATAGTAGTTTTGTATAGAATAGTCTAGTCTGTCATTGCCTTCTACCTTAAAAGAATTCAAATCAGCTATAAACTATTATGCCATATTTGGTTTTTTGTCTGGCTGGTTTTGGGGTTGTTTTAGTAAATTTAATCTGTGAGCTAATCAACAGGTTTTTCTGCAGAGAATCTATCCCAAATATTTGTGCAATCTTCTCAGCAGGAAATATCTTTGCTGTGTGCATCACGTTGAAGGCACACAGAAGTAGACTAGCATAAAAGAAAAAATAGCCTTACAGGAAGACATGAACTGTAGGCAGGAGAACCTGGCACTGAGGGAATGCAGAATAAGCCTCCTTATTCATGTGCTAATTCATGTGTAAAGCAGCTTCCAGTAGCAGCTGCACTCAAGGAAGTGCAGGCGGTCAGACATGACAAGACACAACGTTGGACTGACAGATTGACTGGCAGGCCTAGAGGGCTGCAGGGATACCTCGTGTCACAAATACAACTGCAAGAAGGCAAGAGAGTGAAATATTTCTAAAATACCAACTAATTGCAGCACAGAAACAGTACTACGAGAAGTACTGCGCTGTTGGTTTTTACAGCTGGGAAGGGCAGGAAGAGGGGAGGGGAGGCAGCGATGAATGGGGAATATCAGATAGATGTCTTAAACACACACGTTTTGGGAAACCCCTGATTGCATGACTGGTCTTTTTAAGCCTGGCAAACTTATTTCATTCTCTTCCCATTGTGCTAGGAAAAAGGAGAATTTTTACCATCCTCACAACGAACTGTAAAGCTCTTTTTTAGTTTTGTAACTACAAGGCAGCTATTCCAAAGCCCAGACCATAGTCAGCTCAAGAAAAAGTCAAATATTTGGATAAGTACCTTTTGTTTGACTTACGCATTTTGTTAGAAGAAGAAGAGAAAGAGCACTGTTCTTTCAATGCAACACAGCTCTAACAACATTTTCATTTTGATTTCAGAAGTCTACAGAACAAATGAAGAAAGTACCAACCATTGTCCTGTCTGTCTCTTACAAGGGAGTCAAATTTATTGATGCAACAAATAAGGTACGTGCAATTGCTCAATATTAGCTTTTATTTCTCACAAATAGGAATACCTATGAGGCTGGCTCTGTAAGAGCACCAGGCCAGAGAGGGGACAGAGTTGCACTTTGTGTTTTCCTCTCTTTTTTTGTCTTCTCTTCTCTCCAAAACGTATGTAATCTCATTGTCATTCTCCAGAAACTCAGTCTGGAGGACAAGTGAAGCAGCTTTAACGGCTCATTTGGAGAACATTGTGTCCAACCTTCTGCCATTAAAAGGCAAGCTTATCACAAAAGACATTTGGCAGGGAGCCTCTGTGGAATACTTTACCATATTCTTCCCTATACAGTTCCTTAAATATGCAGAAAATATATATATATATTTGTTCATTAATATAATTTTGGAAAAAAAAAAAAAAAGATGTCTCAACGAAGAATAAAGACGCAAGGTTTTATCCAGGTCCAGCCATTGTAAGAATAAGACACATGAGCCTTGAATGTCTTTTTCAAATGTCAAAGCCTCTCTGAGAGCTGTTTTCCTGGTACTAGCCATTTGACTCCCTGAACTGCAGCAGCTTCTTAACAGTTACTATTCCGTATTTTTTTCATCTTCCTGTGTGGCAATGCCCCTGTGCTTTGTTTCTTACATTTAAAATACATCCAACATCTTTAAAACAAAAAAAAACCCAAAAACCAAAAGCAGAAATTGGGAGATCAGAGAACTCAGTGATGGATAGAGCAATGGGTTATTGCTTAGCCAAAGTAAAATGTACAAGCTCTGTAAGCAGCAGTAAAGTAATGCATGAATTTCTCTTCTTCAGATGCCTAAAATGGCAAGAAAATGCAATCCGTACTGATGCTTGCATATGAATAGAAAAGAAATTATCTTTTCTGTTATGTGACTAAAATTCACCAAGCAATATAAAAAATAAATCTGACAACCCAGCTACCTGACCAGGTTAATAATGTATATAACTGCTTTGTGTTGCTGAACATTCAGACCACACAATACCTCTAACCCAGTATCCGTCAAACTTGCCAAATCAGTCTGTTTTTAAAGGTGTTTAACTAGAACTGGGTTTTAAGTGAAGGAACAAAAGCAGATTTGTGAACTTCTGCTAGAGTTTGGAAGCCATATCTAGGGTCAGAAGATGGCATGAAAGAAAAACAGAGGTGAAATTACTGTTATGTCAAGTCTGGCATATTTGCCAGAGCAGAGAGGCCAGGGATTCCTGTCAGCTCCTTTTTCTTCCATTGATTCAAAACTGAGCTTCTACAACCCTCATTTCCTTTATTTTCTCTGATGTGCAGGGCATAAATCAGGACATTGTGATGCTATTAACTCTAACTTGGATAAGGCTGTTTTCAGCTCTTAAATCTCCTCTGTAGTGTAAAGGATGTAACTGCAACGTCCTTAGGTTTGCAAAAAAAATCAGGAGAATAAAAGGAGCTTCCAGTATCTCTTTGCACACAGTGCAAAAATCTTATATAAGATGGAAACTTGAAAGTTTGGCAAACTACATTAGGTGGCTCTAGACCAGTCCCACTGAAATCTTATACCTAATAGTGCAATAGATGTATTTGATGGAGGTAAATAATGCCACAGTCCTGTGTTTTTTCTCAAGTGGTAGATTGCTTTCTCTCCAGTTCAAAATCTGCACTGCCTTTCCCTTCTGTAAAAACCAGGTAATAGCCTGCAACTCTCCCAGGAGCGTTGTTATCATCCTTGTCCACAGTGTGCTGTACCCAATTCCTTCGAGACCCAAAACAGATTAGCACTAAGGTGAGATCCTATTCAGACTTGTACCGCTTCCATATGAGCTTATAGTTGACAGCGCTGGGCACCACTTAGCAATAAATGCATATTTTTTAATGACAAAAATAGCTAGCAATTATGTGCTTGAAAACTCAGCTCTCATGGCTGTTCATCCTTTTCCTTTATGCCACCAAGCTAAGAATTTGTATTCCGAGTCGTAGCAGGCAAAGCTTCAGGTGACGAAGGGGCCCTGACCTCATTCCACGACAGCTATTTCAGTGGCGCCTTGAAGCTTGGCATGACACCACTTTGACATGACACCATTTCTTTGCAAGTGAGGCCAGAAAGAAATTGCTGCTTAGGAAAAAGCAGACTTGCACAATTTTCTCGTGGGTCACAGCTAACCCTAACTTCTGGATGATTTCTGCCAGGAGGGGGATTGTCTGACAGGAGGTAGGCAAGCAAAAGGAAGGCTGCTTAGCAAAAACCTGATCTCTCAAAGGTATTTCCTTGGCAGAACCAGAACCGGCTTTCAGCTTCCCTGCTTTTTCAGAAGCACCGGAGGATTCTCTTGACAAACTGAGTGACAAATTTTAGAACAACTGTACAGTGTCGGTCAGTGCCTGAGGAGTGTACCCAGAACAGCGAGGTGGTTCGTAGCCTTGCAGTTTCCACAGAATAAGATTATGGGTCTACTGGAGTAGTGACCCTAGGAAACAGTAAGCGTGTGCACTGAAAACATGTTTAATTTTGAAAGGCGATCACAGATGATATCCTATAGAAGCTAGGGAAAAAGCTCGATTTCACTACTAATTTTCATCCAGAAGATTTATTTTAAGTATGGCTCATTTTATTCGAAACAAATGATATGTTTCCAAACTTCACTTGGTTTAAACTTAAAACATTGACATAATCTCCATGAGTTTTGACTAAAGTGCAAAGCCCTGCGTCAACCCTGGGTCACCTCGGAAAAGTTTCAGCACAGCAGAGCTCTCTTCACATACACTGCATAACTTCAGGTGATTACTTTGTGGCTCATGATTTGGCATAAATATTTCACATGATTTTTAAGACCTTCCAAGCTCTAATTCTTTCTGCCTTCTAAACTACAGTGTTGCCAATACAACATCAATGACAGTGTATTATAGCTATATCTGTGGCTATCTAAATCCCTGGTTTTGGTATAATTGTAATTCTCATCAAAATCTTTATTGAGGGTAAAAGTTATCAATTTGAGAACAAAGCAAATAAAATGCTTGAAGTAACATAAAAAGCCAATGATTGTTAAGCAGAGATTATACGTGTCGTTATAAATTGGCATATATTGAAACATAAGTACTGGTTTTGTCATTTTTATGAATAATGCATTAAACAGGAATAATCAAGTATGTTGCAACAATTTAAGATTAAGAGGATTATTTTATTTCTTCAGTAACAGTTTCCTTATCTTGGTTTTTCCATAATTTGAAATTTGGAATGCTTTTTATTAAGATTTTTCCTAAGCCATGATTTCTTCAATTAGATATGTTAATATGTCTTTTCAAAAACTTGACACCTACATGCAAGGGGGAAAGTTGACACTTAGCAAATGAAAGAAGATATGGCAAAGCATCTTAAGTGACTTAGTTACATATATTTCCTGTTCTTTAAAAAAAAAAAAAAGAGGGGGAGGAGAGGAGGTGGGAGGGAAAAAAGAGGGGTGAGGGAAAACCAGAGATGCTCAGAGATTGTTTTAACTTGGACAGATGCCACTGAGGCAGCAGCAAACGGTGGCTCTGCGAGGGACCGGGACGTTACAGATGTCACATGTTCTGTGGTGCAATAGCGATGTCGTGCTGCAGCAGGCTTGTTCACTTTGGGTTTTTGTGGAAAAGCCAGAGCTACAGCCGGCAGGGCCACAATTCAGAAAAGCGTGTAAACTAACTGCTAGGTAAATTAATATTCAATTAATCATTCTTCTGTTTAAATAAATCATTTGAAATGCGTGTGTTGCTGAAGCAAGGCCTAATCATAAGCCACTCTGCAGTGTCTTCTTCTCTGGCTTCATGGTTCCTTTGGCCTGAACACAATAATTACACATCAGCAATTTATGTAATGAATATTCATAATTTTCTCCAAAGCTTTAAGACAGCTTTTTTTTTTTATTTCATCGGACAGACATGCCCCACCTCTATCTCAATAGTATGCTATAGCTTACATTGGCTGTTGCAAGTAGTGTTGCTCAGTGCATGAATGGTTTAATTTTTCTACATCTCTCTTACAGGACGCTGTTATCAGTAAGTGGAGAAATGTTGCCAGATCCTCCTGTAGTTATCTTTTTCCTAAGCAGAAGCCTTTCAAGAGCTCAGGGTTTCAATTATAAGTGATGTTTGGTGTCTTTTTCTCTTGAAAAAGTATAGCTGAAATTTGTCAAACAACATGTGCAAAAAACCTGAGCCTGTTGGGTTTCACCAGACCCTGTCTGTCAGTAGACTGAAATAGTATCATGTAGTGATCATTATACAGAAAACCAGCAGCATCATAAGATGCTCGTATGGTGCTTTGAAACTGTATTACAGCTGTATGCCAGGAAAGATCTCTCTTTGTCATAGGATACTGAATAAACTGTACAAAACTCAAGCGGACCCATAGGGAAGACTCTAGAATGTAATTGTTTCCTACCAGATTATTGGCAATTTTAGATATCATTGGAGAGGGTAAAAATTCCAGTGACCTATGTAAGATCACACATGGGGTGTATTAAATCTCTTCTTAAGAAACTTCTGAAATACTTCAGCACAGCAGATGAGCATAAATGCAAATCTAAAACCACACCTTTTACAGCTCTTTTACATTTAATTCCTAAGTTGATTGAAAATATTTTTTTTAAACAGAATATTATTGCTGAACATGAAATCCGTAACATTTCCTGTGCTGCACAAGACCCTGAAGACCTTTCTACATTTGCGTACATCACTAAAGACTTGAAGACTAATCATCACTACTGCCACGTATTCACTGCGTTTGATGTGGTCAGTTTATAGAAGATACTTAATAGTTCTTTGTGATAGTAGTAGTTCTTCAATTCTATTAAAACATTTTTGGGGTATATGGTGATTAATGGAAGGTATCATTCATTTAGCACATGAAAAGACTAATCTACTATGGGATAGTAAAAGAACATTTCTGGAGAAGGGCAAAGATTTTCTTTGATATTACCTCATTTCCCATCTGAAATAACTCACCTCTGTAACCCCAGTTGTTGACCGTAAACTTGGCGAGCAGCTTTTCATACAAGTTTTGACACGTAATTCTTCTAACCTAAGCAATAGCCTTCCAAGAACTTTGTAACAAGCAGGCTTGGCCACCCATTCTGAAATCTCAGCACACACCAAATAAACAAATTGGAACTGGATCAATGCGCATTATATACAGTGCTCAATCCTGCCAAGCGGTAGGTTTGGGAACTAGCTTAAACTAAGTCTGCAGCGTTGTCCTGCATTTTTGACTATGTTGTACTGCCTGTGTAGTCAGGGAAGGACCGGTTTGGCGATGTCCAGCCTTTTGGCTTTTACCCTCATGGGTCCATCCCATGCCAGCCAACAAGGGGTGAAAGGGTTGGACGCTTTCTTGTGGGGGTCCTTTGAGCTCGGACACATCCCACATGCATGATGCAGATGTGGGCCGGGCTGCTTTTTGGACTGGAGATCAGATGTTACCACCGTTAAGTGATTTCTTCAGATTTCTTAGCCCTGCCGTTCCATGAGTTTTAGTGTTTCAGTGTTAAGATGGATCGGTCCCAATAACTCAGACATCTCTCTAAACAGTGTTTAGACTTTTTGACATTATATTGAATGAACTGGAAAATGGAAGCTTCCTCTGCAAATGTGTAGAGAGTGTATGAAAAGTTTTGTATTTACTTTAACCAGAGAACCGAAACACACAGATCTGACAAAGAAGAGACCACACAGGTGGATAATTACATATCTCAAGAGGTCCTAGGAATGTTTGGCTACCACACTGAATCTGAAAGATTTGAAACATCTGTGGTAACAGAGATCTGTGCAGAGCATTGTCCTTTCTGTGTTCTTGTGTAAGAGGTTACCCCTGTAACCACCAACATACTTGCCATTTGAGTTAAGCACAAGAGAAATTTAAAACAATATTAAAACTTAAATCATTCAAGAAAAAATATTTTAATGTGTATGAATTCTTGAAACATGCTTACACAAATATAAATAAATTAAAAAAAATAGATATGTCTGAACTGAGACATTTTATTTGTGACTGGGGAAACAGTCAACATTGCAGAGCAATAGCATGTAGGATAGTTTAAATAAAAAGATGTACAGGAAGGCAGGTTAGAAGGAATTTTAGCATTTTGGTTCAGTGCTTTTGTTGTTTAACTTCTCTGCTGACATTTTAGTGTCCACAGGGAGTAGAAAAAACTTAAATTGTGTTAAAAATATGTAGACCATGGTCAACAAGATGTTACATTATACAGATTTTAGTGATAAGTGAATCAACTGAAATTAGACTGATTGAGTGAGGTTATTATTTCTCGTGATCCATTTAAATGCTTCTTAATGGTTTCAAAGTACTGCAGTTTCATTTATAGGTTTAATAATCAAGCACAAACATAGACCCAGGTGTAGCAAATGAAATTCATTTTCTCCTTGCTTGGCAAGGAAAGAATAGTGATCCAGGAATAATTACAACATTTTACTCACTTCCTGTACCTTAGGAGGAGCATTTAATACCCCAAGCACTTTAAAGAGCTATTTTAAGCAATACGGAAACTTTAATGTTTAACTGTCTTAACTTAGTTTTTTCCTGCAACATAATCTTCAGTGGGGTGTTACCCACTCAAATATTCTCTTTTTGTGTTGTTTTATTTCTCGCTATCTAGCATTTCCGATGCAAGTACAAGCTCTGTAAAAAACACCTAGATATTCAGAACACAAGCATACAGTAAATTAAATTTTCTATTTAAAGTCTAACACTTATGTTAGCCTGATCTTCCAGTTTGCTAATAGAAACAGTCCTGTCCATTTGCCAATGGGTAGAAGTTCAATCCTATTAAGAAAAATAAGGTTTAAAATGGTAGAAAGCTACAATAAGGTGTAAAAAAGATGCATCTTAAATCATATGTATTATGGTAATACAATATATGCAATGGTATGAAAAAAAATACACTCTCTTAGGTCCTTCAGTTCCTCAGGAAATGTGGGCAAGAACAATTTTTTTGCAGATAAGAAAGCATTTTAGTGTAGTGACGTGTCAACTACCAGCATTACTGATACTTACTATTTAGGAGTGACTGTACATTTAACTTTTCTACTCAGAGTTAAAATTCTATAATCAAAATTGCAAAAACATCAGACTTGATTAGACAATACTGAAGGGAACAAGGTTTGGGGGAAGAAGAGGATTTATTGCTCAATATTTGAAATCCACTTCACTCTCGTTCACTTATAAAGCAGCCCTAAAACTACCAGTGAAGGATTCCCTCTGGAGAAACAAACCACCGTAACAGTTCCTATACCGAATTCTGGTTCATATATGGGAGGCATGCAAAGTAATTTCCATCAGATACTGCTTCATTGCCCGATGCACCTATGAATAGAAGACAACTGGCATAAATTGGAACAATTTCTGCTCTTGCTCATGCCAAGGATTAGACTGGTGCTCTACGTAACACAAAGACTTTTTTCTTCTTTTCTGTATTCTTTTGTCCTTCATTGCACAGACTTAAGCTGGAGAAGAATTGGAAACTGCTAGTATACATACTTAGCAGAGAAGAAAAAGCATGCAATTCAGGTCTCAAAGTTCTGTTCATTGCCTTCTTCCAGGGATTTAGGGGACTTTATAAAATTTTTCTCTATTCATATGATCATTCAGGTACAATCAGTGTGGCATCCCCATGTCTCCAGAACAGAAAACTTCTTTCCTTTGCAGCATCCAGAGACAGCATGCCCAGACAGTCCCCTCTCTGGGGAATATTAGGTGGAATGTGTCAAACCATTTCAGTTGCTCCTGGCCAACTTCTTGAGATGGAGCACGCTCAGGTACAAAGAGCTTTCAGCTCATGAGCAAATGAATCTCTCCTCTCTCGTCTACATCAGTGGCTTTTGCAAAACCTGAAAGGCCCACTTTGAAGGCCTGTTTCCATCCTCCCATTGCGTACAAGACATCTTTCTGTGTGGCATTAAAAGAGAGGGATGGATTCAGAAGAGTTTGCCTTCCACGATTGCTTTAAATCCAGAATGAGAAAGGATCAAGAATTTAAGTTGCAGGAGTGCCTGATCATGAAAGCCTCATGCAGCCCAGGAGTCCACAGATGTTACAAGCAAATGCCAGCCGTGTTGGTCTCATCATACCGTCTTTAGCAAGCTGAGCTTTCTTCCCCTCGAATGCACGAAGGCTGACACATTGGAAAACGCAGACAGATCCATGTCCTTTCTAGATCCCCCCAGAAGTAAGAGTTTTGAGGTCTGGAGGGCTAAAGCATTGGTACACTTAACAGTATAAATGTATATGTATGACAGCTCTGCATCTGAAAGAACTCCCATTACTAGTAACTAACCTTCTCTTCTTGCCAGACTCTTATAGTAGAAATCCTCAACATTGGGCCTTGAAGATTTTGTTATAACTAAGAAGTAGGGAACCGATTTCATCTCAGGGGATGGATATTTTAAACTGGGTTGGCATTTTTCAGATTTTTTAAGTTAAGATTCCATATATTCTGTTTGATTTTTGCCAACTGCGATTTTAAGTTTGGGACCTTGAACACAGGGTCTCCTAATTGACATTCCTACACATCCAATGTGATGGGTAGCTCACACTAATCATCTGAGAGGCTCCAAAGGAAGCTTCTTCAGTAAATTCAGTCTTCAAAAAAGACCAGATTTGACATTGATCTTAAAGAAGGGAAAAAATCATCACCTGAAAGCAAAAACCTGTAAAATCTTCATTATATGAAAAGTGCTTTCCCAAAAAGACAAAATGTAAGTTTTTTTCCCAAAAATTCCTTTGCAAGTGACATATTAAGTTTTCATAGCTCAAAACACAGAAATCTTACTCTCTTTCTTAAAATATTCCTGAAGCCTCAACAAAGCTTTATAGAAGCACGAAAACACAATGAAGCAGCAGTGCCTGCTGCAACTTACGCAGTAAAAAAGTCAGTTAAAATGTAACAGAACAATTAGCCATTGTAATAAGTTGGCTGAATTAAAGCGGCTGAAGAATCCTGACTCAGACTTGCACTGAGGCGTTGAATTGTAACATTACGTGGCAAACAAGGCAATTGACCTCAATTTCTCATCTCCCAGAAATTGTTGCTTAAAGGCGTTAGCTTACTCACTTTCCTTCTCTGCTGTGCCAAGCAAAGAACAGGCTTGTCGCAGCCTCAGAACCACCGTGGTCCTGAAAGTTTTGCCTCCTTTCCAAGGAGCTTGATGGGGTGCTGAAAGGGTCAATGTCTTCTACAGTGACCAGGGGGTCTACAAGTTTTGTGCTAAGCGTCTTTCGGGGAGGCAGACCTGTTTCCTTCCTTTTGTGCCACATGCAAAAAAAATCAGATCGTCTCCTCACCCCATCAGAAGAATTTCCACAACGGCTTTTGTGGTTTTCTGCCCCCAGCCCCAAGGGAATCCTGCTCTTACCTCTCTGGTATAGCCCATGCAAGAGTCCATACAAACTCTAATCCTCATATTCCTCTCCCAGGACTACAGGTGAGAAATTCCTCAAACCAAATTTATTCACTTCTGGTTTTTTCAAAATACAATTTTGCAGATGCCTTTTTTAAATTTTACAAGGTACAATTCTAAAGTCCCCCTCGCCTCCAGTTGCAGACTTCTCTTTGTCAAGGCTCTACCGCAGCACACAATGTATGAAATTTATGTACAAGTTATGGTTCAGTTTACACGTTGAATATTGAACAGAACAGTGAATGTTCTGTTTTATTTGCTATAATTCAAATATTTATTAACCATAGAAACAGTTACATGTTTCCAATGGCTTTCAGGCTCCAGGCAGGCCTATTTTTTCATTTTACAGACTGAAAGAAAACAAACCTTAGTGGCTTCTGACGAGATGCAAGACCCAGACTAGGTTTATGGCTCAGCATGGCAAACTCTCTGCTTGTCTCCACTCTTATCTCAAAGCTTTTCAGGCCTGTCTCTCAGTGACCTTTTTGTAAGCCACACTGGGCGGCGCATTTTCTCAGTCCCACTAGTATTACAGTCTACTTTTTCTCCAAGCCATTACTACACCCTGTCCTGTTGGTGTATTCCTTAGCAATAATAATATCCACTGTAGACAATCCCGTGATGATGTAGTACACTGTCTTACTGTCACAACAGCAGATTAAGACGTCTTTAGAATAATATTCTTGTGCTACTAATAGGTGCACTCAATTTCAAATAATATTATTCTGTACATTTTTAACAATTATACTCAGTTGGTCTTAATTCCATAGCCAGCGTTCTGCTAAAAGGCAGGGCACTTTATAATACTCTCTTTAGCCTTTCATTTATTACTCCACTGGCAAACTGCATCCTCAGTGTTTCTCAGTCTTGGCCAGTTTCCTTAAGTCAAAGGGGAGACAATTTGGAGACTACTGCTATCAAATCAGGCAGACATTTTTATTTGGGAAGCTATGAAACTTTGGCTAGCTTGCTGTTGTGGCTGCAGTTGTAACAGCCAAGAGCATATCCCAGTGGAGGAGTATAATTGTTTTCTGTCTGACCTAACAAAGACCAGAGCTGGCACCTTTATAAGAAGCTCTTACAATGAGCTAAATATGCTGAATTTAGCCTATACTATCTCAGTATACGTGCGATAACAAAGGGATGGAATTTCTTTGTGACTACAGTGAAATTACAGCGCAAGGCATGAAATAAAATGCTTATCCTTTTAACTGTGTTTTAACAATTGAAGGGCAGATAGCGTACTGCCAAGTGTCTTGCATTGCTTTCTGGCTTATTGCAAACTCAACACTTAGACCTGACCAGCTAAAGAGAGATCTCATTTAAAATTATATCAGAAACATTTTAAGGGATCACCTAGTTTCAAAGCAATACAGGATTGCTTCCAACTAAGGGCTGCAGAGGTTCAAGAAGGAGAGGGTAATTTCTGAATTACATCAATGATTTATGAATTATTCTAAGGAGACTGTAGGAGATAAGAAGGCAGGCCTGCAGGCTTGCATTTGCTCTGCAGGGGGTCAAAATATTGGAAAGTTCGGAGCCTAGAAATAGGATCTAGTAGGAGCCTACAAAACAAACCCACAAACCTGAAAAAAAATTACCATAGAAATTCACTTGCAGTTTAGATTAAGGTCAAATTTGAAACTCACAGCTGCTTTTTAGTTGACATAAAACTGTACTGAAAAAATATTTATACCAACCCCCTGGGATCCTCATTCATGTTTTATAAACTTTTCAACAGGTTTTCTTCTACATATGCAATGAGAACTTACCACCAAACTGGTCTTAGTCTTAAGAGCCTGACTTAGAATCATAGAATCATAGGACTTCTTTGGTCATACACACTAACCCCCCCACGCTTTCAAGAGTATGCGGAGATGCCAGTTTAAGCTCAAACATTTTTACTTCTAGAAAACAAAACCGTGAGAAGGTTGCCCCGGCACTTGAAGCGTGCATCCAAAGCAGAGCACTGACTTTCATGCATGCATAAGTGCATTGCATCTGTGAGGCAGAGCGTGCACTTTCAACATTTGCTTTTTGTCCTTTTGGAAGCATCACACCAACGCTGCACCCTCTTCCCGTGCTGTTCGGTGAGAGCACAGAGCATCCTGAGGCACACGCCCAGGGAAGCAGCGCATCGGGCTGCTAGCTCTGGAGGAGGACGGGTCAAGCAGAGGAGGTCCGAAATACAGCAAGGTGGAATGTCAGATGGGTGCAGTAGCACAAGATGGGTGGGATCTTGAGAGCAGCAGTTACGGAGTGAACTGGGAAGTTGGGGGGTTAATGTCCTTGTTCTAAAAAGAGATGACATGCACTCACCCACTCCTGTTTTCATGTTTAGTGAGACAATGTTTTCAAGGTTTTTAGAAGTAATTACTTTCAGTACCATGAATTGCATTTAGATTGTTTTTAATCAATGAGAAATCAAATGACAGATGTAAATATTGCAGAGACTTAGGAGGTTATTACCAGTGTGATTTTAATTATTTACATTACACATCACTTCTGTAGACAGTACTACCCCACTTCATGTGTCTGATGATAATTCAACCTTACTCCAATTTTAACTGGTTTTGTTTTTTTCCAGAATTTAGCGTATGAAATCATTCTTACACTAGGACAAGCATTTGAGGTGGCCTATCAGCTTGCACTACAAGCACGAAAAGGGGGCCATTCTTCAACCCTCCCAGAAAGCTTTGAAAATAAACCCTCCAAGCCTATTCCCAAACCACGTGTTAGTATTCGGAAGTCAGTGGTAAGTAGAAAGTAGTGGTGCATGCAAACAACAAAATTCAGCTACACAGTTAAGAGTTGATATACGTAGAAGCTGTATAAATAAATATACCTGTTGAGTCAGAAACGATCCATGTCTCCACTGTGCCGCCTCTGCTCATCAGCCGGTAGGGTTGTGTCACTGCAGGACGGGCAACCGCTTTGAACAACTGCTCATTTCAGATTCCTGCAGTTTGCTTGGCTAGTGTTGTGCGTATGTCTTTTATAGTAATTGCAGAGCTTTAATTGATTCGGTCTAATTCTAATGTATTGTGCTTTTTTAAGTGCTGAGGATCACAGCCAATGCATACCTCTAAAACTGTGCGGTTCCATGGACTTTCCTGATCTTGTGTCAAGAAATAAAATCAGCGCCAAACGTGTTTGATACACGATCACTGCATATGTATCTGAACCAAATTGCAAATCCAAATCAATTTGCAATTATCTTGTCATACCAAGCAACTTCTTTTCTTACCTTTTTTTTTTTTGACCCTCAGCAGACCCTCCTGCTCCAAAACTGGGATTCAATGTACCTTTTCAATATTTTCTTTGTAATCCCAAACTCCTAAGAATCCAAGTTCATGGGACCCTACATACTGATTGTCTTTAAAGTGCCCTCCTGAAGTGCATAGATGACAAAGAAATATTCTTTTATGGTAGAGCTTTTAAAAAAAAAAAGAAAACTATTTTAAATCAAGTGAGAATACAGGCACAGGGTAATGTGGGAGGGAAAGGGGAAGAATGACTGCACACTGTATTATATTCACTGGCTATAAAGTGAGAACCATACTCTGTGATATTTAATTATCAGATGAGAGGAAGGGGGGTGGAAAATGTATGGCTGTACACTTTGTTGTCCATTGCCACAGAATCTTCATCCATAAAATTTTAGAGAAAGAACATTTCCTGATGCCGTCATCTGTCTCAGTAACAAAAGGACTTCTCAGGATCACGTCTAGCTTTAAACATAGCTTTAACAACCTATAATGCCCTACAGCTTGGGGATAGACACAGCTCTGATCTAAAGAAGAAAAAGAAGGCAACCGTGGGTACATGGGAGTGTAGACCACCGCCCTCGCTGCTGTAGGACTCTGTCAGTACAGGATTTGTTCTGTGTTCTGTTTGTTAAAGAAAATGCTAGCAATGCTGTGCACAGAGATGGTAACCCGTCTGTATGTTTGCATTTGTCTTAAAGCAGATAGATCCATCTGAACAAAAGACTCTTGCGAATCTACCATGGATTGTTGAACCTGGACAAGAAGCCAAAAGAGGCATTAATACCAAGTATGAAACTACCATTTTCTGATACAAAACCGTCCCCCTGTTCCTTGTTGTGCCTTGCACGCCAAGCAGTCACAGCACAGCCTTTCCTTTATGGCAACGTTTCAATCCAGCAGAGAGGAAGACTGCACTGTATGAGTGGCCTTGTAACTAACAAAAAAGGCTGACAGTCATTTCTGGTGATGTTCTTCTTCCTGCAGCACTGACAGAAGAATGACACTATATGAAGACTTTTAAAATTACAGTCCACAAGAGGAGTGAGAAACCTTATTTTTCACGCAGTTCTCCCTTGTGACTCTGCCACAGTGCTTTCTTTGATTTCTTATTTTAGAATTCTACTTTTTAAAAAAAACAAAAGGTCTCTAAACTAACACTAATGCTGCCTACGAGTAGAATATTTGATTGGTTTTTTATTTAAATCTTGGCAGTTTTTAATTGAAATAGAACCAGAATTAATAAATAGAGTATTTGTGAAACCACTGAATTCATTAATAATTACTGTGTTGAATAAAGAACTCATTAAAGTGACAAGAAATTAGGCACCCTGATTTCTGTGTGCGCTGGTTTTATATGTAATCATTGGTGTCCTTTGATCCTCTACAGAAATAGGAACCTCTTGCATTGTAACAAAGGATCAGAGTTTTATGAATGGTTAGAAAAAGGTATTAATAATGCACAGAAAACATTTATTAGATATTTTTATGGAAGAGAAGTACTATAGGAAAACATATGAATATTTATGGAAGGAAGCCAGATTAATTATGACAAATATTGTTTATTTTAAAGTTAAGTAAACCACTGCTATTGCAGCATTATGAAAATTATAAGAGTTGTAGCATCAGTGCACTGGATGTTCCGTGTGATCAGTCTGGAATGAAAGTGGAATGGTCATTCTACTACACCTACATATAGTTTATGCAGTTCAACATTGCTATAGCCATGAATTCTACTAGTATTTTTAAAAAATAATCTCAGTGGTTATAAAAAAAGTCAAAACCATGGATTTTGCTATCAAGATTTCTGTCACAGAAAGCTTGTTTGGAAGAGTGTTGATAAAATTCTACTGCAAAACATTTTCTAAATAAAAATAGCGAGAAAAAGAAAAAAATTCCAAAGTAATAAAAATGTTTTCATGGAACAAAATAGTTAAGCATTTGCTTAATATTTGCTTAAATAAGATTTACTTAAATTTTCTTTGAAGTGTTTTAATTTTTTTAATGTCCGTGGAGTATTTGTATAATACCATGATGTATATTTATGTAGAACTGAAATTATAACAGTACAAATATCACTATAGGAGAAAAATGACATTTTAACGTATATTGTTCTATCCAGTCAAATTGTGAATCATTTTGAAGTTCATTATAGAGATATTGATAAATTGTGTGGTTGTCTTAATGTTTTTTTAATTATTATTTCATATCCAGCTGAGGTTTTCAATTAGAAACATCAGTTGGTAAATTCCAAAAAATGAAAAAATGAACTTGGTTTAAAACTGATAATTGTATATGGTTTAGTTAAACCTAATCATAGCGCTGAGTGATGACATACTTTTAATACAGTATTCAATTTACTTGAACAAAATAGTTCCTTGTACATATTTTGCCTATTCACTGTTGATATGTACGTAGTCAACTGACAGTAAAAAAAAAACACTAAAAATATGGTACCAAAAGGAAAATTGTATAGGAGAACAGTAAATAGTAGCCTCACTGCAACAAATACTTATGTAAATATGCTTGGGCTTCCAGTTATAAATTTTGTAATTTTGTCATTTATTTATATCCTATAAAAGCACACAAAATAAAAAGAAGTTGTACAGTCCCAGTGCTTTGTGCATCATTTTATCATTGCTAAAGGACATAAGGGGCCTGATCCAAAGGATACTGAAATCAGTGAAAGGTCCTCCCCTCCCCTTTCCCCCATTTCATTGGGCTTTGGGTCTTGTCCCACGCAAACCCAGGCATCGCTGTGGAGACAGTTTTGGTTTAGAATACAGATTTTGTTTACGGATGGTAAATACTTCATACTTTAAAGTATGGTTTTACTTTACTCAATTAACTGGTTCTTCGGTGCACTACTGAACTGCTGACTTCCCATATTTAATCGCACCCTGTAAGGACTCGCACAGGGAGTTATGTTAAAACACATTCACTTCAGGCACCAAAAGTACAGAGTGGCCAGATTTTCAGGCTATAAAACTGGGGCACCTCTTATATAGCTGAGTGACCCCTAAAATTGAAGGATGAGACAGGAGCTGCAGCATAACTCTAAGCAAATGTAAGGGAAAGGAGTGAAACAACAGGGAGAACTGACAACTTGCAGAAGAACTTGATCTAGGTTCATCAAAGAGACGTCAAGCAGGTAAGGTGGCGCAGTAAGCTGCTGAACTTGTTTGGGAGAGATAATCGGGGCAAAATAGACAGGATGGCTAGCAAGACAGATGAGACAGATGAAAGACTGGTGGGGCAGGGCATGAGTGTGAAGAGAAGAAGAAGTTTTGGGATGCGGTGAGTCCGTGAACGATTGGAGCCCCCACAGCAGACATAAATTGAAACTGGAAGGAGAGAGAAGAGTTAACAGGCATAAGGCACTTCTGTATTTGCAGAAACCTGGGATTTTAGAGGGAAACATTTCCCTCACTAACTGATACTAGCGTAAGCCAGTTGGAGAGCAGTCCATGGGGTCCCCTCTGGCATGGGACAGTGGTTCAGCATTCTTTTCTTCAGATCCAAAGAGCCTTCTACAAACCTGCACTAACCCAAAGCAGTTACCACTTGATCTTTAGTCCTTTTTGGTCAAGGTAACTTTCCATTAAAGTTCCTAGTATGCTGGAAGTATATAGGCAGTAAGGGGACAACGGTCAGTCCTAAAAGTGAAGGTAGGGAAAAAGCCAGACACCTCCAAAAGATCAGAAAGTGAGGAAAATTGCTATTCTTGATCTCCACTCAAGGTAAGAGGGAAGCAGAGGCAGTCAAGGAGAGTACGTGTAGAAACTGGAGCATTTGGATGTTGCAAAACCAGGAGTTAATTGCAACAACTGCCTTACAGCGGGAGGGTGGAAAATGGGCAAAAGAGAGATGATATGGAAGTAGATTGCATTTGACATAAGATAAAGAAATTGGAATCAAAGTGAGGTTAAGTGTGGGTGACAGGATTTTGAGGATTATTTGGGTAGTGAGGTCTCTAATATGCAAGGTAAAAAAGCCGCTGCTGGGAGAAGGCTTAAAGACTGGAGAAACTCCTGAGGGAACAACAGGGAAATTCTGTGTTGTGTTGCAACATCTAAAGCAGATGTTGCATTTCAGACTGGACATGGTGACTCCACCGAATCTGGTGTTTATTGAAAGCCAGAGGAGCTACTGCTCACAGCTGGCAGGAGGAGACACTCAGCATATCTGGTTCTGGTATTCTGCCAATAAGTTTACGAGAGCCTGCTTCTCCTGCGGAACCACAATCTTACACATGCCTTGCAGTTTGAAGCCAACATCTCAGCATCAAAAACTGGCATGGCCATAAAATGGTGACCATTGGGAAGAGAATTAGCAGGTCATGCAGAAGGTTGTATCCGTCCTTTGGAAAAGAAAGCGGCATGCTAGACAACTAATGAACTTTCAGAACCAACTGTGAAATAGTTTATAGCTTCCATTCTAGATTGAAACAGGCAGTTTGTGCCACGTGCAGAACTCTCATTTAATTTTGCCCTAGATTTCTTTCAATTTGTGCTGTTCAGCTGTCCTGCTTCACACCTCACTGGAGGATGATGTCTAAGATGTCATCAAGACAACAGTCTAGAAATAGTAACTTCAACTGTCTTCAAACTACCAGCCCAAAGAACAATTGATTCTACGGAGGAACTGTGTGGCAGTGACAAGCATGTAAGTGAAAGACATGACATAAAGATTAGAGACAATATTTAGATGTGGTCACTTATCCAAGAGGAGGGGTATCCGTTATCTCATGTAAAAAGACCAGCTGAAGAGAGTGGGAGAAAAAAGGACTCTTGCTGGAAATATTGACAGGATTTTCAGCTCACTGGAAAGCAGAGGGATAATGCTCAGGCTTCTACTGAAAAGCTCTGTAACTGTTCAGTGCTCTATAACTTCTTTAGGTGAACCAGCTTCTTTGCTAAACTAGCAAACTGACCATGCCGCTATCAAGTCCACCCTTGAATACACTGGTTCTAGTTAACTTTCACACCTGTGAGCTGATAACCCAAGCTAGACCGAGGCTGATCACAAGCTCAGCTAACTGAAACAAACATACAAGATCCACTTGCAGCCAGCGTTCACACTAGGACGTAGACCTTGTGGAACTGGTGGATGATCACCTTCCTGCTGACTAGACAGTCACACTCACCCTCATTACAATCCTGAATGCGGCCAGCCGAACACTGCTGTCCTCCTGAAGAGGCAGAAAAGGGAAACGCGGGAAATGGCCTATGGTCCTTGCCTTTCAGGAAGGATACGCGCCAAATGCAGGAATGGGAAACTGCACCTCCGTGCCTGGCTCCTGCTCTTGTACAATACCACAAGCAAATGTCTCTTCAGTCCTACTTAACATGCATATGCATTCGCTAGTGCCACGTCTTTCAGCCTTCCGCTGTGGAACTCAGGTATCTAGATATCTTTGAGAATGTGGGTCTGGGTAAAGTGGTAACAGTAGACAGACAAAAATGCTATCGATATGTAAACAAAACAAAATTATCTCTCTCTTTCAACTCTTGCCACCAAGAGCTTGGAAAAGAAAACTACTTTTTCTATCAATCAAGAAAGCTGAATTCAAAACACTTTACAACCACATAAGAAAAAGCGAAGCTTAGACAGAAACTGAGGGCCTTAGGCTTCTTCCTCACACATAGAAAATACATCACAGATTTAACGTCATAAGCTCACTTAATTGTAAGATACATGCCTTTTTGTCATTTTTTTAAACATGGCAATTCCTACCTTCAAGTCATTAGAAGAACTGCTCAAATTCTACAGATCCTTATCCAAAGCTAAATTTATTCTAATATTAAATCAT